CATGGGTCATGCCAACATTGTCAATGTCCACCAGGCCACAGGGCACTGACTTTTAATTAGGAAATTCTTTATGCCTACTTCTTACAGTCCAGCAAATGATTCGTAAGGGAGCCCACAACTGCTAAGACCTTCCTGGAGCCACAGCATTTATCCATCCCTAGACCTTTCAGGAACCAGACTTCTAAAGCAAAACCTCTGAGTAGATCAAGGCCAAAGCTGACACCCCCTCACCTACCCTCCCTTACAACCATTACTGTGTTTTGTTCTCTAGAAGCTTCTGGGCACTGCACACCACCCAGAAGTTCTGAAGAGCCTAGCATTTCTTGTTTTGTGTGAGCATTTTTGTCTCCCTCCCTAAAATCATATGAATTAAAAAGCAATCCATACTAACATAAACTGGCTTTTGTTCTCTTAGAAAGACAGGGTTTCATTCCATGAATAAGAAGCGCCTGCTCCCATCCTTCAGATTCTCCTCCTCATCATCTACAGCTCCAGCCACGTGTGACCCAGTCACTGTGGCTCCAGGAGGGCAATGGGGGGGCTAAGTGGAGAGCGTCACTTTCGGCCATGGCTCACTGAAGCCAACCCAGCAAAGGTTGGCTCGCTCACCAGCGAGGTAACAGAATTTTCTTCACACGGTGAATTTTTCATTCCCATGCACCTCACCACACTCCACCAAGGATTGAGGAAGGAATATATGGCCACTTAATCAGGTTAAGAAGAGAAACCTATGAAACCAGCTGGGAAAATTTACCTGAAAATTAGGTTTGTTCTGTTTTGTTTTTAAGGAAGGCATGTATTTAAGGTAACGTGTCCATCTTGTTTACATTTAACATTTTAATGGTAGGAAGGTTAAGGTTTGGGAGTGAGACTTGTTGCTACTCACATCCAAGCAACTGATTTTATTTTAGTGAACCTTACCCCCTCCCAGGCATTTAAAGAGTCCTGTTATAATGTCAAGCCCTGATCTTTTTCCTGAAAGCAGGCAAGAGAAGAATTAACTCTATAAAATGGCGTTGTGTCACAGCAAAGCCAGCCTACCTACAGGGGAGCTGAAAAGACAGAACAGTGAGTTGAAAAGGACAGAGGGGAAGGAGCATCGGAGAAACGAAATTTCATGCTAAGTTCTCTGCAGAAAAACAGGAGGCAAACTCTTGGGAGGGGACTTGAGGTGATAACTCCCATTACAAGCTGGGGTTCTGCGGCCGATTTCTCACCCTGTCTGCCCTCACCCTCCTTCTCTTCCCAAACTTATCTTCGTCCTTGCAGGTTGCAAATAATTAACAGGTGCCCCCAGATGGAGGACTTTGTTGTCATGCCTTAATGTCTTTTCCAATTGCCTAAGAAAACGGGAATCTGGGATTTACTAAACCCGTTCCGCATATGCACCCCCAAAAAGGAAAATTGTACACTCACGCCTACTGTCGATGGCCTTTCCACAGTGAAACGTGTTTTCTTCAATCTCGAGCTGCTAGTTAACTAGCCAATTCCACAGAAAATTGTCCCTTCGGAGAGAGTGCTGTGATTTCCAGTGCGGGAAGGTAAGAGGGCACTTTCAGGCCATCGGTCCCCAAGGGAGCGAAAACCAGCGGCCCAAGTCAGAGCAGCCTCAAGAGTGGCAAGCTCCCTCCTTCCACAAAGACAGCTCCAGGTGGCCTCGGGACACAGCCCAGATGAAGGAAAACAGGTGAGGAAGAGCAAGTTGGCCTCAAAAACACCTGAGCACGATCCTCATACCAAATAGGAACTTAAAATACTATCACGTCAGAGAAGAACTTTCTGTTGTTAAACCCAAACTCCCTAACCTGAAATTCCCTTTCATTTTTTTTTTTTATGTTTTATTTACTTCTTTATTGTGAGAGAGAGAGGGGGACAGAAAAGCAGAGGCAGAAAGAGACTCCCAAGCAGACTCCGGGGCTTGAACTCATGAATCATGAAATCATGACCTGAGCCTAAGTCAGACACTTATCAACTGAGCCACCCAGGCACCCCTCTTTTTTTTTTTAAGATGCTCTCAGCTACGGGGCACATTGGAATCACCCAGAGAGCTTGGTGGGAAAAAAAAAAAAAAAGTGATGTCTACTCCCATGCCAAACCAATTACATAAGAATATCTGAGGGCAGGGGGCAAGCACTGGGGGAGGGTACCAAAACCTCTCCAGATGATGCTAATGTGTCAGGAGGGTCCACGGTCCCTGGACTCCACCATCCACACCTTGATCAAGCAGGCACATCTGACACACCTCTTGTAACAAGAAATTCCCTAACCTGGGGCACCTGGGTGGCTCAGTCAGTTGAGCAACTGACTTTAGCTCAGGGCATGATCTCATAGTTCATGAGTTCGAGCCCAGCATCCGGCTCTGTGCTGACAGCTTGGAACCTGGAGCCTGCTTCAGATTCTGTGTCTCCCTCTCTCTCTGCCCATCCCTGTCACACGCTAGCTCGCTCGCTCTCTCTCTCTCTCTCTCAAAAATAAATAACTATTTTTTAAAAATTTTTAAAGGAAATTCCCTAACCTTCCATGGAAATCCATTCCATGTTGAGACCGTTCTGATTTTTAAAGGCTTTTCCTTACCTTGAGGCTCAACCTCCCTTTCCATAACATCCACCAATTTGTCCTTGCTCGCTCTACTCACAAGGGCCACGGAAATCCGCACAACACATATATGGAATTCAGGAAGTATAGAAACCCACAGGAACTTCTGTGAGAGCACAACTGACAAGCCGAAGGCAAAGGTGAGGCCAAATTTCACAAAATAAAACCCAACATGTATCTGCATCCTGTCTTTTACTTAATTAAAGAAACACCTGTGAGAGGAGAAGATGGGGGAGAAAGGGTTTTAGCAGCATGACTTCCGGGATGGACGTCCAGCACAGCGATGGAGGGGTGGGGGCAGGATCTTGATATGAATCATCAGGGGGACGTGGCTGTCCACTTTGCTCATGCTGTCCCAGGCTGCGTTCATAGACGTGTGATCCCCAGAAAAAAGGGCACTCAGGAGACACACCTGTAGTAGAGCCCTATCGTGACCATCCTTCAAAATAGATGGAGGAAAACAGAGGAGAAAGACCCCGATGGTGATCGATTTTTAAAGGTCTTCAGTAAAGAAGTGTTGGCAGAAAAGCCACTGAAAAAGACAACATTAAAATGGCAAGAGAAGGGGCCGGGTTGCTCGGAGCATCCAACCCTTGATTTCCGCTCAGGTCAGCATCTCACAATCATGGGACCTCTACATGGGATGCTCTACAGAGCATCAGGCTCTGCATGGAGCCTGCATAAGATTCTCTGTGTCTTTCTCCCTCCCTCTGCTCCTCTCCCCCGCTCACCCATTGCTCTCTAAAATAAAAAAATAAAATAAGATAAAAAATAAGCAAATACAATGGCAAAAGGAAACTCACATTTGAGTTTATGCTCTTTGCCAGGTGCCCTATATCCATTCCTTCCAGTAATCAAGACAGCCTCTGAGGCTACCCGATGATCTAAAGGGAAGGTGTTTCCATGATTTCAAGGAATAAAACCAGGCAGGTGGGGTAGGCTTGAAGCTTAAAGGAACAGGTATCTGCAACTCTCTTTTTTCTTTTTGAGTCTCCTTCAGAGAAGACTCAGTTCATCATGCTTCTCACTTGGTGACACTCCGTTCACTAGTCCGAAAAGCCTCCTCACCTACTTTTCTAAATGAACCCTTTATACCGTTTATTCACATGTATATGGTTTTAAATCCCACTCTTCTCTTCCCCTTCAAAGGCAAATTCTGTAAATTTTTCTTTCCTGTAATGCTTTGCCATTTTCCACTAGAGTTTGTATCTTTTTCCTGTTAATTTGCAGGCATTCTCTGTGTTCTAGGTATCAATCCCTTGTGGGCATTCACCACTTTATTTCTAGTCTATTCTGATCTTTGTAATAACATTTCCCAGATGTCCTGAAAATCAACTTTTTTTGGTATGGATTTTACATCTGAAGCTTTGCTTAATAAATCCTTCCCTACCTAAGGTCACAATAAATTCTCCTACCTTTTCTTCAAACAACTGTATCATTTCAGCTCTCCTATTTAGATTTTTGATTCATTGTGCTACCATTGTGTGTGGTGTGATGACAAGGTCAGTGTTCTTTTTTCCATAGAATGAGCCTCATTTTCCAGTAGCATCTATTATACAGCCCTTCCTTTCCCCCGTTGACTTAGGGTGCAACCTTCATATTATATCACCTTCCAATCAGTGTATGAGTCTGTTTTAAGCTGTTCCTCCTATCGCATTGATCTGTTGGTCTGTCCTTGTACCAGTACCACACTGGCTTAATTACTATGGCTCTGGAGCCTGTCTTAATATCTGCCCAGGGAATGTTACCCCACTTACTCTTCCCTGTCAAGATTGGCTTACTGTGAAAAACTTCTGGACATCTGCCATACAACATTGTGCACATAGTTAACAGTACTCTACACTTAAAAATTGTTACAAGGGTAGGGGCGCTCAGTCGGTTGAGTGTCCAACTTCAGCTCAGGTCACGATCTCACAGTTTGTGGGTTCGAGCCCCCTGTCGGTCTCTGTGCTGACAGCTTAGAGCCTGGAGCCTGCTTCAGATTCTGTGTCTCCCTCTCTCTCTGCTCCTCCCCCACTCTCTCTCTCTCTCTCTCTCTCTCTCTCTCTCTCTCTTTCTCTCTCTCTCCCCTCTCTCTCTAAAAAATAAGCATTAAAAAAATTTTTTTTAATATTTATTTTTGAGACAGAGACAGAACCTGAACAGGGGAGGGGCAGAGAGAGAGGGAGACACAGAATCTGAAACAGGCTCCAGGCTCTGAGCCGTCAGCACAGAACCTGATGCGGGGCTCAAACTCACGGACTGCGAGATCATGACCTGAGCCGAAGTTGGACGCCTAACCGACTGAGCCACCCAGGCACCCCTAAGAAATTTTTTTTAAAGAGACTGGCTCACTATTTGTGGAATTTAATTATTCTGTATAAATTTCAGAGTAAAGCCTATCAAGTTGATTGAAAAAAAAAATTCAAATGAAATTTTTTATTGGGATTGAATTGAAATCACAGATAATATATGAAGAATCACCATGTTCATGTTTAAGTCATCTCATGAAATGTCTCTCCATTTACTCAGATCATCCTCTATGTCCTTTACTTACATTTTAAACTTGTCTCCATAGAGCGTGTGCATAATCTTGAATAAGTTAATTCCTAGATACAGTCTTTCTGGCGGGAATCCCTCTCCATGGACTGATAGAGAAACGATATCTGGACAACAGTTCACTCTTATCGGTGGAGAATATGTTCCAAGACTCCCAGTAGATGCCAGCAACCGCAGACAGTACTGAATCCTATATGGGCTACGTTTTTTCCTCTACATACACACCTATGATAAAGTTTAATTTATAGATTAGGCACAGTCAGAGATTAACAACATCTAATCATAAAATAGAACAATTATAACAACATACTGCAATAAAATTTATGGATGTGGTCTCTCCCTCTCAAATATTTTATTGTACTATACTCAGCCTTCTTCTCAGGACCACGTGAGATGATACCATGCGTGTGCAGTAAAATGAATTGAGGTGAATGACACAGGCTTTGTGATGTAGCATTCGGCTATGTATACTGCTGTCAGAAGAAGGACCATCTTCTTCTGGACTTTGTTGACCGAGAGTAACTGAAACCACAGAAAGTAAAACCGCGGATAAGGGGAGACAGCTATGTAATAGAGAAGTCTCTCACATTCATACCCTGTGCTATCCAGCAACAGCAGGTGTATGCAAAGCAGCAAACCCAGCTGCCATTGGCTCCTGTGGTCAGGACCCTACACGTCCTTGATCTGTTTCCATCTGCTTCAAGCCCCAGGTGTGTGAAAGCCAGCACAGATTTAGCGCTGGTTGTATAACCTCTGCACCACAGACCCGAAGTCTCTGTTTTTTTCCCAGCTGGTTGCTGTTCACTTCCCGGGGTTAGCGCCTCAACCAGACAGATCATGTTCTCTGGTTAGTCCTCAGAGAAGTAAGATTTCAGCTCAGTCCCAGAAAGGACCTTCTGTCCCAGCTGTCCTAGGAGAGAGTGGCTAACAGGTAGTTACAACCTCACCTAGTGAAGAGGGCATTCACTCAGCCTGGTCAGAGAGGTGATGGTGCAATAATCTGGAAACTGTGGTCTCTGTGGTCCCTCCCAGTTCTGATATTTGGTGGTTCCCAGGCTTCAGGTACCTCTTTTCATGGCCCAGCTTCACCTTCAGAGGACCACTCCCCTTGTTCATCAGTGGTCCCCGCTTACCCCTCTAGGTCTCCAATCCAGAGCATACAGAGCTCTAGTCTTCTGGAGAGCTAGAGGGAGAGAAGGGACAATGGAAGGATCTGGCAGCCTTGTGGCACATCTTTGGGCACAGTGGGCATCACCCAGGCTCCAAGAGTCCAGCTGGTACTAAGGAAACCCCACCTCCCTGCAGAGGGGTGACCCCCACACACAGTGTGAATCTTGTTCATTACTCTAGATCCATAAAATGAGCTGGGCAGTTTTTACTCTCTGGAACATCTAGGAGGAGTTAGAAATGAACTGTTTCTTGGAAGTTTGGTAGAACTTACCTGTAAAACAACTTGAGCCTGGGGTCCCAGGGAGGGGAAGCCTCCTGAAATATTTGTTTAATATTGATGGTTCTATTCAAGTGTTCTATATTTGCACTAGTTCTGCCATTTTATATTTTTCAAGGAACATATCCATTTCATCTGTTTTAAGTTCCCTTGCCTATAGGAGAGAAAATCCCATAATTGGATAAGTAGAGTGCAAACAAACAAAAGAAATCCATTGTGTAAGCGCAGAGCTGTTGAATTGCAAGGTGAACCAGATGTTGGGGGCAAGCCTGCACAACCAGGGGCTAAGAGGGGCAACGTTACAAAGTTCACACTTACCCGGCTCGCTGCAATGTGATGCCATCTAGTGGTAATTGTCTGCTCTGGCTTAAATACACAGCAGAATACTTTTGGGACCCAAGGCTGGCCAAAACTTTCAGGTCACTGCCAGCAATTCCAGAAATGTCTCTGGTTGCCCAATGCTGCAGATTTGGGCTAAAGAGATGCCTGCTCCCTTTCAGCCTCTTCAGTAGTTGCCTGCATCTGCCCTACCTCAGTCTCACTCCCACACAATGGCCCCAGAAAAGATCAAACTTGAGCCCACAGCCATTTGAGAACAAGGGCAGGATACATCACCAACCTCAGTGTATCAAGTTCATGTTATTGGGAGATATTAAGGTAATCTTTTATGTGTGTGTGTGTGTGTGTGTGTGTGTGTGCGCGTGTGTGTCTCCCTCTCTCTCTGCCCCTCCCCTCGCTTGCACTCTGTGTCTCTCAAAACTAAATAAAACATTAAAAAAACTTTTTTAAACATAATGAAGTTGTTCTTACCTTACTGTAAATTATAAAGACTTTGGCCTGCTATAGAAAGAGGTGCTCTTGCCTAATTTAATAACTACATATAGATGTATATCTCCAGCTTTCCTGGATCAGCTTATGTCCTATGACGTAAAAAACCAGCTTTAAGTTAAAAGCTAGCCTGTTTCCCTGTTTTCTGATTGCATTTCTGATTACGGTTTATTGCTTATCATTTATTTCCCATAGGTGTTACTGAATGGAGTTTTACCCTGAAGCTTCATTTGTTAAAAAGAACACTATTAACATAAAAGAACCCTCACTAGAACTCCAAGGAAGATGTATTACTCCAGTTTTTTCTAGTAGCAGCCCGCACATATTTTATTAAAAGATTTAATAGACTATTGTTTACAAAAATGACGCATGGAAACCTAAGTCACAATTTATTTCTGAAAGATATAATGGGAAGGATCAGTCATAGAGGAGACACATGAGGAGTTGAGAAACTCTTTTGTTAGTTGGTGTCTGATATTATATCCAGCCTTCTAAAAAATAATTTCACCTTTCAGGATAGCCTGAGAGGGAAGCTGATCAGCCAGAAAGAGTTCTCTAATTTTCTTCAGCATATAATATCCATGCAAAGGAAGGGGTAATTTTAAAAGATTGAGAGCCTCATATCCCAAAGGTAAGGCATCCCCAAGGTGATATTTTTAGTTTTATAGATGGTTTCTCCATTATGCATATAAGGGTTCTCATTTTTCAGAAAGCCTTGAGTTTGGCTTGAGGTATAGTTTGTTTTTAATTTTGGATCATTTCATGTTGGTGTAAGTCTGTGGTCCAAAAGCTTCCTCACCCTTCATACTAAGGCGACTGATTCTTCCGCAAGCTCTTTCACTAAAGAGAACATTATTACACTTACGTCTACCCAGTGGCCACCTAATCCATTCTGGTTACATTTATAAAGGAGAATAGTCATAAAATTCCATATCCCAACTAGAATTCCTTGCATTACCTAATGAATTCATTTTAATCTGAAGGACTACACAAATATAATGATTTGCAAGACAGGTTTCACATTCCATTTTCATACAATTTGATTCTCACCTCAGACCCGTTACAACCGATCCCGGGCTACATGGGCAAAACTCCCATGATGCTTATAGTCTCCTGATGTTGCCTCTGAGCCGCCATAGAGTTAAAAATGTAATTTATGCAAACGAAAATTGCCTTTCCTGAAATTCAACAGTTTCATGGTAACTATCCATCCATATTTAATTTTTATGCACAATCATTTGGATACATTTTCATTTAATATCATCACATAAGTTCCCCCTGGGGCCCAGTGATGTTCATGTTGTCAACTTAATCACCATGAGTCAGGTATGTATCTTGGTGTTTCCCAGAATTGCCCTTTTTCCTTTGCCTTATGAAGTCAGTACTGCCCTTCTTAGGCTCAGGAGTATTTTATACTAAAAGAGGCGAGATACCTTCCAGAGCTTTAGAAAAAAAACCGAAAAATTGTGGTTGGCTTTGTGGCCGAATTGCACCACCCCAGCTCAACGGGCCACATAAGCATTTGCTACTAAAAGAGCTTGAAGACCAGGCTCTGATCTCCACCGCCTCTCACCAAAGAGTTCTGGAAATCCCACCTTCCTGGGGCTGGAATCCACTGAAGGCATGGAGACGGGGTGGTGCTGTGACCTGACCATGCCTCAGAATCACCTGGAAACTTGTTAACACGGACTGCTGAGTCAGTAGGTCCGACCAGGCCCAAGAACTTGCGTTTCCAACAATGAACCGGATGATAAAGACACTGCTTGTGCAATGACCATAATTTGGAAACCACTGCATAAATCCCACAGCATTAACCTCTTATCTGGAAAGATACTAACTTTTCTCAACGCATACCAATTGCAAAGACTGAAAAGATTGGAAAAACAGGTAGCACCGTCAAAAACTCGCTGGCGGCCTACTTCGAGATATGGTGGATTTTGTAAACCACTTGCCAAATCTGGCAGATTTCCTGGCCTTCTAGATTCTGGGCCTTCCTCCCTTACCTAGATTTCCAGAATTTTCCAGACTCCCTCTGCTTCACTATTGGACTGTTGTTACACTTGTCTCAGTATCACGGCTTTATTACCACATATCTTCTGACTCTGATAAAGCCTGCTGAAGAAAAACTTTAGTCATATTCTGAAAGCAGATGAGAACTGCTCACCAGGTCAGGATTCCTGACTAATAGTCTCCTGACTATTTAGATTCCTCTAAAAGCACAAGCCCTTTTAAGGGTTCGACATAAACTAGCAATTCCGGAAGTCCCTGCACATTTTCAAGTGACTCCAAACTCATAGGGTGGAGAAGTATCTGATTTTGGCTTCCACTATTACAAACACTTTAATAGCTTGTGAACAATTCAGAAAGGCAAAACCATGCCCTCAATGAGCTCATGGCTGCAATAAAGGCTGGATGAGGCTAGAAGAGGGGGTAATGTGGCTGGGATTCACATCCCCCTGACAGTCCCCTTAATTCATTCCTGTTCAGGCCCAGCCATTTACAGATGCACTCACAATATAGCTTCGGCTCACTTAGAGTCCCTGGCACAAAAGAGGTTTCACAGGGCACTGCTATTTTCATCATTGAGCAAAATTATGTGCTGATTACCTTGGGATAGTTTGGGGAGAAGTCATGGATAATCTTTATTAAAGACAAACACCTGGTGGGGTGCCTGCGTGGCTCAGTAGTTAAGGGTCTGACTTAGGCTCAGGTCATTATCTCCAGGTTCCTGGGTTCAAACCCCACGTCAGGCTCTGTGCAGACAGCTCAGAGCCTGGAGCCTGCTTCAGATTCTGTGTCTCCCTCTCTCTCTGTCCCTCCCCAGTCACACTCTGTGTGTGTCTCTCTCTCTCAAAAAAAAAAAAAAAAAAATTAAAAAAAAAGACAAACACCTGTTGGCTCAGCCATTTAAGCAACTGACTCTTGATTTTGGCTCAGGTCATGATCTTACCATTTGTGAGTTTGAGCCCTGCATCAGGCTCTGCACTGACAGTGTGGAGCCTGCTTGGGATTCTTTCTCTCCCTCTCTCTGCCCCTTCCCTGAATGCTCGCTCTCTCTCCCTGTCTATCAAAAATAATAATAATAATAATAATAAAATAAACTGTGAACTCCCTAAGGGCAGGAGAAAAAAAAAAAACACGAGGGGCACGGGGTGGCTCATTTGGTTAAGGGTTAAAGATCTGACTTTGGCTCAGGGCATGATCTCAAAGTTCGTGAGTTCGAGCCCCGTATCAGGCTCTGTGCTGACAGCTCAAAGCCTGGAGTCTGCTTCAGATTCTGTGTCTCATTCCCTCTCTGCCCCTCCCCCGTTGCACTCTGTCTCTTTCTCAAAAGTAAACATTAAACAAGCAAACAAACAAACACCATCACCACCCCCCCACAACAAACCCTCTGAATTATCTTCTCACAACCAACATAATGATTGAAAACAATGCCAGAACATATTAACGACTACAATTGATTTATGGCACGGAGCAAGAATTTCAAACCATAAATAAGAAGACCTTGTGTGGCCCAGTACAGTTGTGCAGCCCCCCGACTTGACATCACAGAGTCAGAGAGGAGAACCCAACTGTTCTACTATCCAAAATGAGGTGGTCACCCTGGTTCCTAAGTCCATGGAAAACACGTCAGCCATGTTGGCTGCTCTCTGGTTATGGCTGCCTGTCTTCTCTGAAGCTAAGAGGCTTCTTCCCCCTTCACATTTGGAGAAAGAAAACCTAACACTGCAGAGCAATGAAATTCATCTCCTTCAGGCAAATGTAGCAGGGAGCCTCCTGGCTTCAAAAGCAAGGGTCACCGTTCCCCTTGGGGTCTTCCTTGCCTTAGGCAGTCAAGGCCACAGAAGGAAGGAAAGCCCTTTGTTAGTCCAGGCACAGACCGGAGTGAGTCCTGAGCGGCCTCTTCTGCTTGCCAGGCACCCTCCCCACCACCTTCTTCCCTCTCATTAGAAAACCTCTCATATCACCACTTAATTTTTTTGACCGATTATACTTCAAGGTAAATGAATTCCAATGCTTCATCCCAGCCAGGTGTTCGCTTTTATGCACTTAATCACTGAGGACAGATTGTGGTACCCTCTCTCAATACTACTGTTTTGGCCAGCAGCAAGTAGTTGGAGGGCAAATTTTCAGGGAATGGTTGAGAATTGTTTCCCGGAAATAGAAGGGATATGGTAGGTGGGAGCAAGAGCCAGAGGAAAGTGGCACCTGAGGGACTGGAGCCCTTGTTCTCCAGCACAAATATCCCAACTGCCATACAGGTTCAGCCTGAATGTCAAGAGCATGCCTTGGGGCGCCTGGTGGTTCAGTTGGTTGAGCGTCCCACTTCGGCTCAGGTCATGATCTTGCGGGTTCATGAGTTCAAGCCCCGCCTCAGGCTCGCTACTGTCAGCGCGGAGCCCCCTTTCAGATCCTCTGTTGCCCTCTCTTTTTGTCCCTCCCCTACATGTGCTCTCTCTCTCTCTCAAAGTAAATAAACATGCGGGGAACTATGTGGCTTAGTCGGTTAAGCGTCCGACTTCAGCTCAAATCATGATCTCATGGCTCATGAGTTCAAGCCCACTTCAGGCTCTGTGCTGACAGCTCAGAGCCTAGAGCCTGCTTCGGATTCTGTGTCTCCCTCTCTTTCTGCCCCACCCTGCTTGCACTGTGTCTCACTCTCTCAAAAGGAAATAAACATTCAAAAAAAAATTTTAATAAAAAAATAAACATAAACATAAAAAAAAAACACAACTTGTCCTTTCCTACACACACCAGTGCCACACCAGATGCCAGGATCCTGGGCCCATTAGGACACACAGGGGTGTCTCTTGTTATCACAAAAACTCAGGAGGACCCCCAGCATTTCCCAGGACTCCTTACTCATCTTTTCAAACTGGACAGAGGGTGGTAGGTCACTTGATCAATGCCTTTCGTTGGATTACACAAATATCCAGTGATTCCCCTAAATGAGCAGCTTCTTATAAACAGAGTTGGAAAACACAGCTTAGATCTAAGGCCACAATATAGCCTTTTACCTCAACTTACTGTGTCCAAGAAGTCAGGGTAATGAGGGGCGCCTGGGTGGCTCATTTGGTTAAGCATCCAACTTTGGCTCAGGTCATGATCTCACCATTCATGAATTCGAGCCCTGAGTCAGCCTCTGTGGACAGCACAGATCCCCTGTCCCCCTCTCTGTCTGCCCCACCCCCATTCTCTCTCTCTACCCCCCTCAAAAATAAACATTAAAAATTTTTTTTAAAAAAGAGGCATAATGAAAAAGGCTATAGCCTATAATTAAGGATATCAAGAACTGTGAACAGGGCAGTTTCCTAAAAAGGGGGTGTGACTGAGCCAGCATTACTGGCCACCTTTGGAAGGAGGGCTGTGACTGGAACCTGATATCTGGGAGGATGAGATGCATTGGCTTTGCACTACACTTACATATATGAGGGGACTACCTTTTTTTATGAAAATGTTCAAATGTGCACAAAAAACAGAACAGTATCATCAATTCTTATCTCTTCGACCCTATGTAATTCAGTGTGTCATGTCTCTAACAGAAGGACACTTTCTTTTAAATGTTTATTTATTTTTGAGAGAGAGTGAGCAAGTGTGAGCAGGGGACCGTGCTGTCAGCACAGAGGCCAACACGGGGCTGGAACTGACGAACCGTGAGATCATGACCTGAGCTAAAATGGAGAGCCGGTCACTTAACCAACTGAGCCACCCAGACATCCCAGCACATTTTCTTACATAAGAGAACACCACAGCTGCCCTTAAAAAAATTCCTAGATATCATCTGGCATCCAGTTTCATATTCAATCCTGAAAGAAGAGACATGTTTTTATTTTGCGTGGATAACAGGCAAACTGGTAATATTGAAAAATCGGTTATAGCATCGCTGACTGTAGATACCAAACAACTGTAAAAGAGAAACAAAACTTAGGAACATTTGGTAATTAACACTAATCACAATGATTTATTCAACTGCCTGACACTT